ACCATCGTTTAAAATATTTACAGTTGATCGATAATACATACATTAGTCAAAACCAAATACTTTATTGCAGTCATAATCAGCCAGGTACGATGGCGCTCGCCGCTCACGCTGAGACCTGCGGGGCTGTGCAGGCTCAGAGGGTAAGTTCTGCTGGGTGTCAGCCCTAGGTTCTGCACAACCTGTATCAGGCTCACTTACGTCTGGGTTAGTGGTTCCGAGGCCAGGGGTATGCCCTGTCATCGGGACAGTACTAGGTAGGCCCGTACTCACCTCCATGTCGGGAGGTCTGAAATCAAAGTCTGAGGACTCGGCCGTTGGAGAGTCGGCGCTGTCCTTCGCCCAACGTCTCTTAAGCTGGTCTATGTGGCGCCGCCACTTTCGACCATCGGCCAGCTGTACCACATACATGCGAGTGCCAATACTATCTGACACCACCCCGGGAACCCACAAGTGCCCAGATGCATAGTTCCGTGCAAACACTTTGTCTCCCGCCTGGAATATGCGCACACACGCTTGCCCATTTCTTTGGTCAGGCTCACGATCGTTCAGATCTGGGTGCAGTCTGTTTAACCTGGTCGTTAGGCGCCTCCCCATTAGCAATTCCGCAGGACTTTTGCCCGTGACACTAGATGGCGTAGTGTGCTGTCTCAATAGAAAATCAGCCAGCCTGACATTCCAGTCCCCCTCATTAAGTTTGCTCAGGGCCTCTTTAGCCGTGCGGACCATCCTCTCTGCTTGCCCATTAGATGCGGGGTGGAATGGTGCTGACGTTACATGGCGAATGCCATTGTCTGCTAGGAATTTACCAAACTCCTGGGAAGTGAATTGTGGCCCGTTATCACTGACCAGTGTGTCCGGCAGTCCGTGTGATGCGAACAGCCGGCGTAGGGCATGAATTACCGCCAGGGAAGTGGTTGCGTGCATCAGAACCACCTCCAACCATTTTGACATTGAATCGACAACAATTAGGAACATTTGCCCTTGTATGGGGCCAGCAAAATCAATGTGGACCCTTGACCAGGGTCTACCTGTGGGTTCCCAATGCTGCGGTGGCGCCTGAGGGGGGTCAGGTCTATTTTGCTGACATTTTGAGCACACGTGAACCCACTCTTCAATCTCTGCATCCAGCCCCGGCCACCACACATACCCCCTGGCTAGTGCCTTCATGTGCACCATGCCAGGGTGACCTTCATGCAGGGAATCCAACACAGTCTTTCTAAGTTTGTCGGGAATTATCACTCTGTTCCCCCAGAGAATGCACCCTTTCGAGATTGAAAGCTCCTTTTGGCGGGCTTTGTATGGCCTGAATTCTGGCTCTAGGCCCCCTACCGGCCACCCCCTCCAAACCCAGTTCAGCACTCTTGACAACACGCTGTCCTTAGCAGTATGGTTCGCGATATCCCTGGATGATACCGGGGGTCGAGGAAGCTCCTCAATTGCCAAGACCTCACAGGCGGGGGCAGGGTCTGCGCCAATGTCAGGCACCGGGCACCGGCTGAGGGCATCCGCATGCCCAATCGCTTTCCCAGGCCGGTGCTCCAAGTCAAAATCGTAAGCCTGCAAAAAGATCGCCCATCTAAGCATGCGTGGGGACATGATATTAGGCAATTGCTTATCGGGCGCAAAAATCCCCAGTAGCGGCTTGTGGTCAGTGACCAGCAAAAATCGTCTGCCAAAAATAAAATCATGGAACTTTTTGACAGCCGCTACCAACGCCAGACCCTCCTTGTCTATCTGGGCATAGTTCCGCTCTGCCGCAGATAGTGATCTAGAATAAAAAGCGATAGGCGCTTCGCTCCCATCAGGCATCAGATGGCTTAAAACTGCGCCTACTCCAAAAGGTGAAGCGTCAGCAGCTAACACCAGGAGCTTGTGTTCATCATAATGCGTGAGTACGGCATTAGATGTCAGCAGCTCCTTGACTCCCACAAAAGCCTTTTCCTCGGCCTGCCCCCACTTCCATTTTGCCTCCTTGTGCAAAAGCGCGTGCAAAGGGGCCGCCACTGATGCCTTATGCGGTAAAAACGCATGATAAAAATTCAGGAGTCCTAAAAAGGATTGGAGCTCCTTCTTACTCACCGGCCTGGGGGCGTTTTGGATCGCGGATACCTTCTCATCCGTGGGGTGGACTCCCTCTGCGTCAATGCGAAACCCCAGGAAGTCCACACTTTCCACCCCGAGCGTGCATTTTGAGCGCTTAACTCTGAGACCGGCATTTTGAAAACGCCTGAGGACCTCTTTAACCCGGTCCAGTAGTTCCTGTTCAGACCCGCCCGCAATCAGCACGTCGTCAAAATAGGGCACTGTGCCAGGTACCCCCCTTAGTAGACGTTCCATGAGGCCCTGAAAAATCCCAGGTGCTACGTTGACCCCGAATTGCAGCCTGTTCACTTTAAAAGCCCCTTGGTGGGTTACAATTGTTTGGGCCTCGGCAGCCTCCGGGGTGACAGGCAACTGCTGGTATGCCTGGGCCAGGTCAAATTTGGCGAAAATCTTGCCACCCCCCAGGGAAGCCAAAATGTGGCTTATTACCGGGACCGGGTACGAATGTTGCTGCAGCGCCTTGTTAATCGTACATTTGTAATCGGCGCATAGTCGTATGGACCCATCTGATTTGACAGGGGTTACGATCGGGGTCTCCCATTTGCTGTATGGTACTGGCTCTAAAACCCCTTGCTCAACTAGTTTGTCAATCTCTTTTTCCACCTTATGTTTGAGAGACACAGGTACTTTCCGATACTTCAACCTAATAGGTTTGACTGACGGATCTAAGTCAAACGCAACCGGGGGGCCCTTGTACCTTCCCAACCCTTCGGCAAATACATCAGGGAACAGGTCGTACAGCATGCCCCATTTATTTTCAGACATCCTGTTAATCCCAGAAATACCGATGCCCAATGGCTCAAACCAATCTAACCCTAGCAGGTTAACCCGGTCTCCCTCTGCAATCAGGAATGACAGTTTAACACATTTCCCCTTATACTCAACAGTAACAGAGTCCCGTCCGGCCAAGGGAATTCGGTTGCCCTGGAAGTCGGACACTCTGGTTCCCGCAGGCTGGAGCCGCCGCCGGCTTCGGTTCGGGAACAACTGGCGCCAGGACGCGGCAGAAATCACCGTCACGGACGATCCTGAGTCCACCTCCATTGTACAGGGTCGGCCGTCGAGGAGTGGAGTCACGGTGATCTTGCCCTGGCTGCTGGTGCGATTTACGGCCGATGCGCTCGACAAGGTCGCCGTCAACTGGCAGCTTGCTTCCGATGCTGAGGAACGGGTCTTGCCTTGGGTGCTGACTGGAGTGCCCCTCTGCGCTGACCGGTTGTTAGTTGAGGGATCCTTCTTCGCTGATCTGCAGACTCTGGCCAGATGACCACGCCGCCCACACGCTCTGCAGTCGACATCACGAGCCCAACAGGAGCCGCGCTGGTGCTTCCCGCCACAACCGGAGCAAGGCTTGACGTTGGTAGTCTTCGCTGGGGTCCGCTTGCCTCGAACCGCGTTGACGTCATCATCCGCGTCTTCGCCCTCGCTGTCTCGTTGAGCGTGTATACTGGGCTCTGCCACCCGCTGGCGGACCTCCTTCGTGGACTTCTCCGCTGCTTCCGCGGCCACGGCCTCTTCGTAGGCCACTGCCCAGGTCAGGGTGGTGCGGGCGAACAGCCTCTGTTGCAGCCTTTCATCTTTGAGACCGCAGACGAGACGGTCTCTGAGGGCTTCCTCCACGTTGTGGAAATTACATGGCCGTGCGGCTTTGCGAAGGGCCGCCACGAAATCTGCGATGGTCTCGCCTCCGGCCTGGTTCCGCTTGTAAAAAGCGTGCCGGCAGGCGATCTCCGACGGTTGTGGAGAATAGTGAGCCTTAAGCTTCTCCGTGATGTCAGCGTAGGTGACAGTCTTTATATCAGTTGGGGCCACCAACGACCTGGCTATGTCGAAGGTCCCCTTCCCGCAGGAACTCAGGAGGCATGCCCGTTTCTTCGCCTCATCGGTGATGTCGTAGGTTTCCAGATGGAACTCGAACCTGGACAGGTAGGAGTCCCAGTCTTCTGAGGAGGGTTCGAAGCATTCGAACTTCTGGCTTCCAGCCATCGTGGGAGACTTGGGCACCGGAGCTGGTGGCGCCTCCGCCGGATCGGCTGCTGTGCTTTGCCCGCTTTCTTCCGAGTCCGAAGTGTGGATGTCCGCAGGGCTGCCTACCTGCTCTAACATCCCACCCTCGTCGCCAATTGTTAGATCGCGCTAACAAAGGACTCTTAGAGTGATTCAGCAAGTGATTCAGCTTTATTGGAAGTAACGAACAAGCACTCAACTCAGTAAGAAACCAGAACAGAAAACAGTGGGAGCTTATGCTCCTTTTAAACATAACCGGGCTAATGTAGCCACGCCTATTTACAAATAACAACCAATGAGATTGCTAGGATAAAGGCCAATGGGAGTCTTTCCCTCCTAGGGAATGGTATCGTTCTGATTGGTCGCTGTTACGAAGCGACCAATAGGAAGTTCGCTCAGAGGAGCCCTGGTCTGGCTTGAAGCTTAACATTGAATGTAAATGGGCCGATTCAAGTGAGGATTCTGATACATTACAGTTTTATTTCGTTTCAATGTAAAAATCATATGAATTCATGAGGATCCATGTAGATTCGACTTTTACCTTTTCCCCAAATTAACCAACATAGAAACGCAGGGAGGAACCCACCGAAGCCCTGTGAAAGCTCAGAATCCCGGAGGGGGAGACCGGGGGCGAGTTCGCCTTAATCACCAGCGGTATTTTTGCACGCAACGAGATATGTGATGTGCATCTCCGCTAGAGTCGAGCAGAGACTCTCCCAGCAGCATACCGCTCCCTCCTTAGAAGACGGCAGGCGCCTCCTCCAGCCGGTTCGCGGCGCTACTGCTCATTCACTTCCGGGAGGCGGAGTGGGAGAAATACTCTGCACATGCTCAGAAGCTCTCTCCGCGCTGGCGTTGCAAACACTTCCGGGGCAGTGAAGGGGTTCCGGGGCTAAGCCTGCCAGGGGAGCGGAGTCTGGTGGCGCCTCCTGCTGGGGCCGCTCCATCGAGCAGCCGGAGGAGGAAAAACCAAGCCCGGCCAGGATGTGGTTCTTCGCCCGGGACCCGATCCGCGACTTCCCCTTCGAGAGCGTCGCCCCCCAAGAGCCCCCGCTACAGCCGGGCGGGCCCTGGCAGCTGCACCGCGGCAGGAGGAAGGTCGGAAGGAGGCGGGGGGCGCAGGCAGAAGTTCACCCGGGAGGCGGGTGGAGGGGTGCCACGTCGCCAAGAGGGGCCTCTCTCCTTTGTCCGGGACAGGGGCGGCGGGGAGATCCCCAGGCCAGAACACTGATGGGGAATCCTGACGTTTGAGCAAACTGGGGTGTGGATGCGCTTTGTAGGCGCACGCAGAAGAACAGCGTTTTGGGTCCCCCTTCTAAACGTTTCTACTCCGCTTGAAATGGAGAGAGGGTGGCAGAGGAAGGTTTCTAACACCCCCCTCCCTGATAGCTGCCTAAAAGCCTGGATGGAGATGGGCGGCAGCAGCAGCAGCATCTCCAGGGCGAGAAAGGGCTCCTGCCCCTCTCTGGAGCGCTCGAAGTGGCGCTGCGCCAGGACAGCTCCCCCCGTCCCCTTCTAACCTCCCTTCCGCCCCCCTTCCCCCCGCCCTCCTTTCTGCAGGCTACTGGGGAGCCTGTGTCCCTCTTCGTGTACGACGTGAAGCCGAACTCGGAAGAACACACGCAACTGGCCAAGGCCGCCTTCAAGCACTTGAAGACTCTGCGGCACCCCAACATCCTGTCCTACATTGACGGGTTAGAGGTAGTAGAGTCAGGGGTTACTTATGGGTCTCATTGTTTGTTTCTTTGTTTTTTGGGGGGGCGTGTGTGGAGATGGCAAGAGCAGCTGAAAAGCACCCTAGTTTGAGCGTTTGGTGCTGAGGGGGGTTCCTGCTTTGCTGTAGGAAAGCTGAGCCCACCAGTCGACTTTTGGACCGGGCAGTGGACTTGGGGTCCTTACAATGGAGGAGACCAGCAGCTTTGCTTGCAGAGGACTGCTTGAGGGCTGGCTTGGTTGGGAGCATTGGTGCTTCCCTCTCCCCAGTCCCCTTCTTCTCCCATTAATTTCCCCTCTTCTACCAGTTAGGACTAGAAAAACATTTCTGGTTCCTTGAGGGCATTGTTGAGATACTATCTCTCTTCCATCTTGGAACTCAAGGCAGGGGAGCGGGGGGCAGCAGAAGGTCTCACCCACCAGACCTGCTCTTGCTAAGTTTCTTCAAGACTGCCCTGTCAGGTGCCTTCCAGCCCTACCCGGCACCTTTCTGCACTCTTCCCTGACTGTCTTGCCTCCAGCATGGATGTTTCTTTTGTACCTAAACAACTGGGCTTTCCCCAGCCCCTCTTTGGGGGCAGAAGGGGGAGGCCAGTCAAGTGTTGAGCTCCTGGCACGGCCCTGCCAGTCTTGCTCCTGACGTGGCAGCCGGTGTCAGATGTTGTTGTTTGCTTTGGCAGACGGAGAAATGTTTGCACGTGGTGACCGAGCCGGTGGTGCCGCTGCGGGCCTATTTGGAGTCGCGAGGCGAAACGAAGGGTTTGAGCGATCTGGAAATCTCATGGGGTCTCCATCAGATAGTGGTGAGTCCCATGGAGTGCTGGGGGTTGTGAAAGGTTATTGCTCGGACCCTGCTATTGGGAGCTTTTATAGCTAAAAATAGGCTTTTCTGAGTTATATCCCTTTGCTTGAGCCAGGTAGCTTTTGATGGCCAGCTCTGCTGATTTTTGTCTGGGGAATGGGACAAATCTTTAAAGAGCAAGTCCTGTAATTTTTTGGCACCTTCTTCTTTTGAGGCCCTTCTGTTTCCCACATTCTGCTAGTAAAAACCTTGGGGTTAGGTGGATAAGGAGTAAGGTTTACACCCAGATGTTCATATGTAGGTGGGGAAGGAAATAAAATCTCTCTCCCAGGAGTGCAGAAGGAAATAAGGGGAAGGAAATAAAATCTCTCTTCCAGGAGTGCAGAAGAGACCCTCAGAATATTTTGTTTCTGGAAAGATGCTCTAACACTCCTAAGCTGGCCTCCAGCCGGGCTGCGGATCTGGTTTCGTCCATGGCGGCACTGGGACTCTCTCAATTTGTAGCGATCCCCACGCACCAGGCCGGGCACACACTCGATTTGATCTTCGCGGCAGGGATTACAGTGGACTGGATTACTGCAGCGGCAGTACCATGGTCGGACCACTTTTTCCTGAAGGCTCGTCTGAATGTCCCACCCCAACCCTGTTTAGGCGGCGAGCAGATTTTAGCTTGCCCACAGAACCAAATGGACCCTGTTTGGCTTCAGATGGCTCTGCGGGATCTGATGCCCCCTGGCGGCTCATTGGACGAGCTTGTGGAGGACTGGTATGACCGACTGTCCACAGCCATCGATGAGATCGCTCCCAGGCGCCCTCTGCGCTCTCGCTCTAGGCTGGCCCCTTGGTATACCCAGGGGTTGCGGCTTATGAAACGAGAGCTAAGACGGCTAGAGAGATGGTGGCGGCGTGCTCGCGACGAAGCATCAAGAACATCTTATAGGACGTTTATGAGATCCTATGAGATGGCAGTAAGGGCTGCTAAGAGGGAGTTCTATGCAGCCAGGATTGCGTCTGTGAGCTCACACCCAGCCCAGTTATTTAGAACAATTTGGTCTTTGACAGCTCTGCCTCATGGCAGACAAAGCAGTAGGGAATTGGATATTGGCTGTGAGGCTTTTGCGAGCTATTTCGCAGATAAAGTCTTGATGCTCCGCCGTGACCTCCCTGCCACAATTGAAACAGTGAGTGAACTTGAGGCCCCTTGCGCGTCATCGCAGGGTTTAGAATGTTTTGACCCGCTCAGTCTGGAGGAAGTTGACAGACTGCTCACATCTGTGCGCCCAACCACGTGCCGTCTTGATCCGTGCCCTTCCTGGCTCATTAAAGCGGGCCACGAGGGGTTTCGAGGTGCCGTAAGGGAGATTATCAACAAGTTCCTCTTGGAGGGACGGTTCCCTGAGGCATTCAAGGAGGCGATGGTCCGTCCTCTCCTGAAAAAACCAACTCTGGACCCGGCTGGATTGGCCAACTATCGGCCGGTGTCCAATTTGCCCTATTTGGGCAAATTGATTGAGAGGGCAGAGGCGACACAGCTTCAGAACTTTCTGGATGACGCTTCTGTCCTGGATCCATTCCGGTCCGGCTTTCGCCCAGGTCACAGGACGGAGACAGTGCTGGTTGCCCTGACTGACGACCTTCGGAGGCATCTGGATCGAGGCGGTGTGGCGGCACTGTTGCTGTTAGATCTGTCGGCCGCGTTTGACACGGTCGACCACCAGTTGCTGACCCACCGTCTTGCCAACGTGGGGATACAGGGGCTCGCTCTTCAATGGCTTGCCTCTTTTCTCCCAGGTCGGGGACAGAGAGTGGCGATAGGGGAACAGCAGTCCCGGAGGCACCCACTTGAATGCGGTGTGCCTCAGGGGGCAGTGCTATCCCTGATGTTGTTCAACATCTACATGCACCCCCTTGCCCAGATTGCCAGGAGGTTTGGGCTGGGTTGCCATCAATATGCTGATGACACCCAGCTCTATCTGATGTTGGGCGGCCGGTCGGGCTCCAACCCAGAAGATCTGAACTGGGCACTACAAGCCGTGGCTGGGTGGCTCAGACTGAGCCGACTGAAACTAAACCCAGCGAAGACGGAGGTCCTGTGCCTGAGTCAGAGCGGACCAGGGTTGGGGCTCCCTCTCCCGACCTTCGATGGGGCGCCGTTGGTGCCAGCGTCGGAGGTTGGAAGTTTGGGAGTGCTCCTGGATCCCTCCTTAACTATGGAGGCCCAGGTGGCAGCCACTGCCAGATCGGCATTTTATCATCTTAGGCTGATTTGGCAGTTGGTTCCCTTCCTCGGCCGCGATGACCTGGCTACAGTGATCCATGCGACAGTCACCTCGAGGTTAGACTACTGTAACGCTCTCTACATGGGGCTGCCTTTGGAGCAGATCCAGAAGCTGCAGCTAGTGCAGAATGTGGCGGCCAGGCTGATGATGGGTCTCCTCAAGTGGGAGCACATCCAGCCTGGGCTGAAAGCGCTGCACTGGCTGCCAATAGCATACCAAATCCATTTCAAAGTGCTGATACTTACTTTTAAAGCCCTATATGGCCAGGGTCCGACTTACCTGAGGTACCGCCTTTCTCCACATATACCCCTAAGAGCACTTTGGTCCGGGGCGCAACATCGCCTGGTGGTTCCAGGCCCCCGGGAGGCAAGGCTCGCCGCGACTAGGGCCAGGTCCTTTTCGGTGGCAGCCCCTACCTGGTGGAACGAGCTTCCGGAGGAGATCAGGGCCCTGCGGGACCTTATGCAGTTCCGCAGGGCCTGCAAGACAGAGCTCTTCCACCAGGCTTTCACACAGGGGCCGACACTAGCACCGCCACCAATGAGGTGGATAACATCGGGGTTAAGGATGGCCCAGGAAGATCTGCCACAATTTCTGTGTGACTGATACCACCAGATTTCAAGCAGAGAGCATGTCCTCCTAGCATCAAAATGGGTATAGCTCTTATCTCTGGCATAAATCAGTTTAGTATGTACAAAGACAAATATGGTCACAGTCCGTAGACATGAAAAGATGGAACCACAAGAACTGTGTAAAGTGCGCTCAATGTTTCTTTAACAATAGCAATATAGTTATAAATATGAAATGTACGAAAGTGATACTGATACATTCAAATTGTAAATCCAGTTACATAAGATAGAAGATGACAACGACGGGACGGTGGTCTCCGGAATGCGATGCCGTTTCGACAAACGTCTTCTTCTCACCAAGAGTCTATAAGCTTATACATAATATAATACATATGAACATTAGTACTTGCATCTTAGGTAATTGTACAACAAAATTCAAAATAAAATTGGTACAAAACCTTACTAGATGAAGTGCAATTTTCCACACATCATCTAGTAAGGTTTTGTACCAACTTTATTTTAAATTTTGTTGTACAATTACCTAGGGGTCATTTCATAGAAAAAGAGCTAGGGGAACTCATTAGCATAACTCATCAGCATATGCCACACCCCCTGACATCAGGGGCCCGGCTCCGCACGTCTTCACAGGATCCCTGCCGCGGGGGACAGCGATATGCGTTGCACCGCCGTCGTCAGGATGTGATGCTATGCGTCACATCCTGGCGACAGCGGTGCAACGCGTATCGCTGTCCCCCGCGGCAGGGATCCTGTGAAGACGTGCTGATCCCCCACCGCGACTTGGCAGCGCTATTCCTAACTTATATTAAGTTCACACCATCATGGATTGCTCCAGAATCAACTTACATAAAAACTGAGCAATGGCTGGGTGTCCTAACATTGAAACACTAAGGAAAAAGAGTTATAGGAAACAACTCGGGTCTAAAGATGCATTCAGACCATGTGAATATATGGAGTTCAGAGTAGTCAAAACAATTAAAATACAGTCAGTGCTGTACTCATGAGGTACTTAAGCTTCTGGTTTTGGCCGTGGGCAAGAAAGAAGAGAAGAAACAGAACTAGCACTGTGGTAAACCAAATGGCAGGTTCTGTTATTTGGGGCAGAAACTGTGTTGTTGAGCTGGCCTCGACACTGTTGTAGGAAAAAAAACCCATGAAATTCTAGAGAGAGCTGAAAAGTGAAGGTTCCTTTGATGTAGTTGGCATGAGAGTTTTCTTTAACTTCTCCGTGTTTGGTCTTGAGATGGGTGGTTATGTGAGGTTTTGAGGAGTAGGAGTTGGGTTTTTTTTGTAGGCCTTCACATTGTCTGCACAGGTAGTAAACGGGAGAAAATTCTTTCTGTGGAAGAGCAAAGAAAAAAGTGATGGTGTAGTGGTTAAGAGTGGTGGACTAATCTGGAGAATAGGTTTGATTCCCCACTCCTCCACATGAAGCCTGCTGGGTGACTTTGGGTCAGTCACAGTTCTCTCAGAGCTGCTCTCTCAAGAGCAGTTCTCTCAGACCTCTCTCAGCCTCATCTACCTCACAGGGTGTCTGTTATGAGGAGAGGAAAGGAAGGAGATTGTAAGCAGCTCTGAGTGAGTGAAGGGCGGGATATAAATCTAATCTCTTCTTCTTAATGAGGACTTTTCCACACGGCTGTCGGGGGCAGGAAATTCTGTTGCTTTGGTGATTCACTGGGATGCCTGTACAGAGTAGCCATCACTCCCAAACCCAGTGTAGCCAAAATGGTAATCCTAATCCACAGTATCTGGCTTGAATTAGGGCCCTTCCTCATCCCAGAGAGGCCCCTGCATTTCTAGGCATGCATGTCCACAGGCCAGGCTCCCCACCCCTGTGATCAGTGCTCAGAGGTGTGTATTAGGGCTGAACCAGGGAAATGGTCAAAGCGATGGTATTCCCAGTAGTCATGTATGGCTGCGAGAGTTGGACCATAAGAAAGGCCAAGTGCCGAAGAATAGATGCTTTCGAATTATGGTGCTGGAGAAGACTCTTGAGAGTCCCTTGGACTGCAAGGAGAACGAATCAGTCAGTCCTAAAGGAAATCAAACCTGACTGTTCCCTGGAAGGCCAGAACCTGAAGCTGAAGCTCAAATACTTTGGCCACCAAATGAGAAGGCAGCACTCACTGGAGAAGACCCTGATGCCGGGAAAGATTGAAGGAAAAAGAAGAAGGGGAGGGCAAAGGATGAGATGGTTAGACAGTGTCATCGATGCAACGAACATGGAATTAAGCAAACTCTGGAGGACTGAAGGGCCTGGCGTGATGTGGTCCATGGGGTCGCAAAGAGTGCGACTGACCAACAACAACAACAGGGAAAGGTGGATGGGCAGAGCTGCTTTGAGATATTCAGCTTCATGATATTTGGGTTTCCCCCCCCAAATGTGGCTGCAGATCAAACCAACATGAGATGAGGGGGCAACTTTAACACTTTCCCCACTAAAATCCCTTCCCTTCTCCCAGCAGTTTTGCTGTGGAAAATATATACACAGCTGTTTCTTTTCTCCAGAAGGGGAAGCAGGGCTGTTTCTGAAGAACGGAGCAACAAGGGGGCCACTGTCTTGTTGAAGTTCAGGGACAGACAGACGGGGCTGTGGCTAAGTGGTAGAGCCCCTGCTTGGCATGCAGAAGGTCCCAAGTTCAGTCCCCCGGCATCTCCAGTTAAAAGGATCAGGTAGTAGGTGATGTGAAAGACCCCATCCTGAGGCCCTGGCGAGCTGCTGCTGGTCAGTGTAAACAATACTGACCTTGAAAGGCCAATCATCTGACTCAGTAGAAGGCAGCTTCGTATATATATATATGAGTTGTTTAGGACAGCCTGGGTGGTGGGGTGTATCTCATCTCGAGGCTCTGTGCCAGGCAGGCATTGGAAAAGGGCGGAAGTGTCTGGCCACCTACAGATGAACGTAGCAGGAAGTGACTTTGTTACATGGCATTTATCTAGCACTTGAGAGTGTTAAAATTGTTTCATCTAAATTACCTCTCTACAACAGCAAGTCGTGTACAAGTTTTAGAAGAAGAAGAGTTTGATTTATACCTCACCCTTCACTTGGAGTCTCAGAGCGGCTTACAAACTCCTTTCCCTTCCCCTCCTCACAACAGGCACCCTGTGAGGTAGGTGGGGCTGAGAGAGCTCTTTCAAGGACTGCCCTTGAGAGAACAGCTCTGACAGCACTGTGACTGGCCCAAGGTCACCCAGCTGGCTGCATGTGAGGGAGTGGGGAATGAAACCCGGTTCTCCAGATTAGAGTCCACCGTTCTTAACCACTACACCAAACTGGCTGAATGAATGGCTTCTCTAAGATGGGATTTGAGAAAAGATTTTCAGTTTAGAGATCGGTAAAAAAATGAACTGGGAGAAAAAAGGGCGAGAAGGAGAAGGGGAGCAGTAGAGATAGGAGATCGGTCAGGGAATCAAGAGACGGGGAGCATAAAGATTAGGCAGCATAGTTATTTCTTAAATATAGACAAACCCTGGGAGTATTTATTTTATTTATTTAAAACATTCTTTAGCCGCCTTTCTTCCTTACGGCCTTACGGAGCTCAAGACAGCTTACAGCATAGATAAAAGACACAAAATAAAATTTATTTATTTATTTATTTATTTATTATTCACATTTCTATCCCGCCCTCCCCGGAGGCTCAGGGCGGCTTACAGGGCATAATGCCAGATAAAACAGTAAAACAATACAAAATATTAAGTTACAACCCTATTAAAACAGATTTTGATGCTCCTCTCAGCAAAATTTCCAATCTCCTAAAATTCCTAGCCTTGAGGTGACCGTTGCATGGATCACTGTGACTGCCAATAAACTTAACCAAATGCGGTCCTAAATAAAACCATCTTCAGCTGCCTCCTAGAGACTGAAAGGGGGGCGGGGGAGACCAGGCACACCTCCCTGGGGAAGTTGTTCCACAATCATGGGGCCGGCACTGACAAGGCCTTCTCTTGTATATCCACCAACAGTCTTCTTTTATTGATGGGACAGTCAGGAGGGCCTTTCCGTGTGATCTTAGTTCCCGGCAGGCACATCTGGGAGAAGATGGTCCTTCGGATAGCCCAGTCCCGAGCCATGTAGACCTTTAAAGGTCAAAACCAGGACCTTGAATTGGGCTTGGGAGTGAATCGGTAGCCAGTGTAATTGCTGTAGTATTGGGGACGTATGTTCCTGGTAGCTGGCCCTGAGCAGCAGTCTGGCTGCAGTGTTCTGCACTAGGATTAATGTAATCCTTAGAGTAAAGGATTCTGCAGCTACATTTATGTCCACGTTAAATCAGTGAAGGAAGGCTCTCTACTCTCCGCCCTTTTTCCATCCTGAGCATCTTAAGGGGCTCATTCATGTTAATCGACGGTGAGAACAAACCAAGTCGCATGTGGCAAGTCTAATCTGTGTAGATGATAAGAACGAGATGCTGGTTTCCCGATTCATTAATCCCAATGAAAGTCTTACTTGATTGTACTTTGCACAATGCCCCTGCCCCAAGGAGCTTACAGTTAAAAGCAAAGCAGTTTATGGAAAGAGAAAGGTGTCAGAAGTGGTAAATGTGAACTAGTGCAGTTACACTTACCAAGGCTTCAGTGGGGTTGGCAATAAAGATTGGGGAGGGGGATATAGGCGGGGCAAAGAGGTCTTGGAAGAGGTCGGTTTTAAGGAGGAATTCAGGTCCCACACACCGCCCTGCCTTATTTCCTAGTCTCTGCTCCCTTTCTAGAAAGCCCTCAGCTTCCTGGTGAATGACTGTCACCTCATCCACAACAATGTATGCGCAGCAGCTGTGTTCGTGGACCGGGCCGGCGAGTGGAAACTGGGTGGTCTGGATTACATGTGCTCTGCAGTGGGGGACAGTGCTGTACCTCGGAAGGGGGTCCCCGAGCTGGAGAAATATGACCCACCAGAGCTCACAGAAAACAGCAAAGCCCTCGGAGAGAAATGGTGAGTTTTTCTGAAGCGAGAAAAGGAAGTGGCCGCACCAAGCATGGAGCAAAAAGCAAGGGACTGTTGGTGCAGTGGGAGAAGTAACTTTTAATTCGCTCTGAGATCCCTGCGCATTTTGCATATGCTTCATCCGTGAGATCTGTAAAATATCGTAGCCTTAATGGTTTCCACAGCAACAGAGTGAATTAAGCTTAATTTCCCCACAGTACCAGTTGTCTAAGGTTTTCCTGAAGAACAGCTTTGGGGGCCTGGGGATTCTGTAGGGCCCACGTCTTCTGGGTGTGGCCCCCTCTGTTGATCTGTGGTTTTATTGTAGTGTGGCACTCTGTCAAAGTAGCTGCCCCCCTTGGACACATTGTACTTGGCATATAGATTCTCAAAACAAACAAGTAAGCAAAAAAAAAAAGTGGTACTTGGGGGGGTCTCACTTTTCAGCTCTGGGAGCAAAAAGAAAAAAGAACCTTTAAGACTGCTAAGGTGAACATTGAGCAGTCTGTATTATCCTCTACATAGGCAGGTCTTTAAAAAATCTTGTCCAAACGGTGTCCTCCTAACTGTTTCTTCCAAACAAAAATCTTGTCCAAACTGTGTGACAGTACAGAAATTTGGAGCCACCAGGATTCCTCTGAGCTCAGCCATTTTCAGAATAAAATTCTGAGAACGCGATGCCCAGGGCAGCTTAGATTGTAAGATCTCTATGCTGGCACGTTGCTGATGCCAGTGTGGTGCCAACGCGGCTAATCGGTACTCTGTGTTCCCCCAGAAGGGGGGGAGGGAATGCCCCAAAAGACCCAATTCCACGGAGTGAAGAGCATAGCAACTGCAGTGGAGTCTGTAGCAACACCAGCCACACACCCCACAGTCTCTGTATGGAAGCAGCCACCCAATGCACACCAATCCTGGCACGCTTCCCAGACGTCAGCTTTCCTCTACTTACATGCAGGACACAACAAGGGAAGGAATGAAGGAAGCACAGCGTCCTCCATGGTAGGGAGGACTGTGGCATACCTAATAGGACAGTGTTGTTACCAGGGCTATTTTTGGCCAGGAACGCACAGGAATGGAGTTCCGGCTGGCTCCCGAGTTGGCCACACCCAGCAGGAACTCATTAGCATAATAGGCCACACCCAACAGCAGAAACTCATTAGGATTGGCTACAGTAGGCGTGTGTGGCCTAACATGCAAAGGAGTCCCTGCTGCAAAAAAAGGTCCTGGGTTTTGACAACAAACAAGGTAAACAATAAGAAGCAGAAGGTGGGTGTGGCTGGATGACCACACTTTTGGCAACACGGGGCTGCGGCCTAATATGCTAAAGAGCTGTCGTGACAGTGTGTGGCCTAATATGCTAATGAGTTTCAGCTGTTGGGTGTGGCCTGTTATGCTAATGAGTTCCTGCTGGGCTTTTTCTACAAAAAAAGCCCTGACTGTAGTGAACACGCTCCTGGAAGCTCCACAGGTAGGGTTTCAAATTCTTCTCCTCCAATACACTGTTCACTCCAATTCCAAATTATTTATGAATAAATTAAATAGCACAGGCCCCAACATCCTTGCGGAACTGCAGTGCTTACTTGCCTCCATTGAGAGAACTGTCTGTATGTTCCTGCTTCTTTGCTTCCTTTCATTTAACCGATTTTTCTTCTGTAAAAGCATAAGAACATAAGAAGAGCCCTGCTGGATCAGACCAACGGTTCATCTAGTCCAGCATCCTGTCTCGTACAATGGCTAGCCAGTTCTTCTTGATGGTCAACAACAGGGCATAGAAGCCAAGACCTTCCCCTGATGTTGCCTCCTGGCTCTGGGATTAAGAGGTTTAGTACCTCAGAATGTGGAGGTTCCCTTCAGTCACCATGGCTATTAGCTACTGATAGACTTGTCCTCCATGAATCCATATCATCCCCTTTTAAAGCTGTTTATTCATGTGGCCATCACAACATCCTCCAGCAGCGAATTCCACATTTTAATCACTCTCTGTGTAAAGTCGTATTTCTTTTTGTCCATCCTGAACCTACTGCCCATCAGCTTCATCGAATGCCCTCAAGTTCTAGTATTTTTGGAGGAGAAAAATTTCTCTTTGTGAACTCTCTGCACCCCGTGCATAATTTTATAAACCTCTATCGTGTCCCCACTTAGCTGTATCTTTTTTAAACTGAAAAGTCCCAGACTCTTCAGTCTTTCCTCATAGGGAAGGTGCTCCAACCCTCAGATCATCTTGTTTGCCCTCTTCTGTACCTTTTTTCCAGCTCTGTGATGTCCCTTTTTCAGATATGGTGACCAGAACTGTACGCAGCGTTCCAAATGAGGCCGCACCGTAGATCTGTACAGGAGCACTGTAATATCAGCTGTTTTATGTCAATCTCTTTCCTAATAATCCCTAATGCAGAGTTTGCCTTTTTCACTGCCACAGCACACTGGGTTGACATTGAGCTACCCACTATGACCCCAAGATCTTTTTTCCGCTCAGTCTCAGCAAGTTCAGACCCCATTAGCCTATACTTGAAGATGGGATTTTTTTGTCCCAATGTGAAAAAGAAGAAGAAGAGATTGGATTTATACCCCGCCCTTCACTACCCAAAGGTGTCTCAGAGCAGCTTACAAACTTCTTTCCCTTCCCCTCCCCACAACAGACACCCTGTGAGGTAGGGGGGGCTGAGAGAACTCTTGACACAAACTGCTCTTTTCCAAGAACAGCTGTGCCAGAGTTATGGCTTGCCCAAGGTCATCCAGCCAGGTGCAAGTGGAGGAGTGGGGAATTAAACCCGGTTCTCCCCGATTAGAGTCCACACACTTAACCACTACACCAAACTGGCTCACTTTATGTGCATCACTTTACAAGCACCCATCCTCTTATTCCATGACTGCTGAAGCTTACTCAGGGGTCTTTGGTGAGGTACCATGTCAAAAGTCTTTTGGAAGTCCAAGTATTATTATATCAACTAGATTAGTCTTATCCACAAGCTTGTTCATCTTTTAAAAGGACTCCAATAGGTTGGGGAGGCAGGACTTCTCTTTACAGAAGCCACGCTGATTTTCCCTCAGCAGGCTTTGTTCCTTGATGAGTTCAATAATTCTGTCTTTAATAATAGTTTTATTAAATTACCTGGAGTAGTTTCCTTGGATCTGCTTTTTAAAAATTTAAATCAGTGTCATGTTTGCTATTTTCTGGTCCTCTGGTACAGAGGCTGATTTTTAGCAAGGTTATATAAATTAGTAGATGAGCAGTTCCACATTTGAGATCCTTAACCCTCAAGTTTATGCCACTTGGAAGTGGAGGCCTAGTAGTCCTAGAACTTCATCTCTTGTCATGTCAGTTTGACACAATTCTACAGACACCCTTCCCCCAAAACTGCTTCGCTTTGGCTATGTGCCCCACATTTTCCACAGTGAAAAACAGTTGCAAAAGTTCCTTCAAGTTTTTCTGCCATTTCCCCATCTGTCTTATGCAATCCTTTCATTCCTTGGCCATCTAAAGGCCTAAGCACTTCCCTAGCTTGTCTCCTGCTATATAGATGATGAAATGTTTTTTGTTTATCGAAATGTTTTTAACAATCCACTCCTCAAATTCTGATCCCTCCCAGAGAGAAGTTGGCAGTAAGGCAGAGCTTAGCTTTTGGCTGCCCACAAGCTGATCAGCGGCAAAACAGAAGGAAGAGTCAGGACTGATCACTCACACCTCACATACTGCAGACCATTCCTCTAAATGCACAGCCAGCTGAGCAGCCAGGAGAAAAGCGCATTCTCGGACTTTTGGAATCCTGCTGTTGAAAACAGATACCAAGGCAGGAATGAGTGCGGGGAAAGGCATAATGCTAGGGAACACCACAGGCTTTCCCATGCACAAGATCCCCAGTAACACTAGTCGTAGGCAGTGTTCCCTCTAAGCTGAGTTAGTGTGAGCTAACTCACAGTTTTTTAGCCTCCGGCTCACACATTTTTGTCTTTGCTCAGGAAGGATGGCTCCAGAGCAAACTAATTTATGCAGTAGCCAGATCGCTCGCTCATTGCTTTAATGCCAGTAGCTCACAAAAGTAGAATTTTTGCTCACGAGTCTCCACAGCTTAGAGGGAGCATTGGTCGTAGGATGAGGGCTGGGGTGGGGGTGGTTTAGGATGTCGGCTGAGTCTTGCCCCACCCCCAACACCAGGTGTCCCCAACCTTTCTCAGCCCATGGGCACTTTTGGCATTCTGACACAGGGTGATGAGCCCAGTCACAAAATGGCTGCCACAGGAGGCCGAGCCAGCCACACAATGGCTGCTGCAGTTTACCTTGAGTCACATGGTGAAGATCTGTAGTGGCTGTCGCTGCCAAAGCAACATTTTAAAAAATCTGGGCAGCCAATCAAATCTCCCAATGGCCAGTCAAAAGCCCTGCTGAGCAAAAGCCCCGTCTTAGGGTTCAGGGGTTGCCAAGTCTATCTTCGCCGGGAGTGGGGGGCTCCCGGCCGGTGTCTTGTGCATGCGCACGCCGCACACACGTCACCCGGAAGTGACAGGAGGATGCCAGGCACGATGGGGGCGGGGCCACGGCCATACAAGGGAAAACCATAGAGTTTTCCCTTGTATGGCCGTGGCCCCGCGCCCGGCGTGCCCGCGTCACGTCCGGGTGACGCACATGTTGGGGTGGAGCGGGGTTTTCCCCGGCCCCGGGGGGACTTAGGATCCCTATAGGGTTCCCAAGTACTTACCGTGATCCGGTGGGGAAAACATGCTCCCCAGCCAGACCATCCCTCCCTGTAATGCACCATGCTGTCGCCACGAAGTGACGCTGGGCGACGCTCTGGCAATGGGGCTGAAAACTCGATGCTACCATCGAGTTTCCAGCCCCATTGCCAGAGAGTCGCCCAGCATCACTTCCTGGCAACGGCATGGTGCGGCGCGTCTGTTGTCCCCACAGGAATGATCCTGTGAAGACGTCTGTGTCCCCCGCCGAATCACGGTAAGTACTTGGGAAGCCTGCCCCATCTGGACATACCCAGCGCTGGGTTTCCACTGTCGTGATGTCATCAGAGTGTTCCGTTGGTGCATATCCATGTTATACCCCCATGAGGCTTGCCTGGCATTCTGAGCAGTTTCCAGACTGATCTTGGGACTGTGGTTTCAGCTTCCTGGTTGATTTAAGGGCTCAGAGCATTACATCATGAACGTCACTGCCAGGGGGCAAAGAGTTCCCCAAAATATGTTTAATGGAGCCATCTCAGTTTGGTGTAGTGGTTAAGTGTGCGGACTCTAATCTGGGAGAACCGGGTTTGATTCCCCACTCCTCCACTTGCACCTGCTGGATGTCCTTGGGCAAGCCGTAGATCCGATAAGAGCTGTTCTTGAAAAAGAGCAGTTTCTGTCAAGAGCTCTCTCAGCCCTCACAGGGTGTCTGTTGTGGGGAGGGGAAGGGAAAGGATTTTGTAAGCTGCTCTGAGACACCTTTGGGTAGTGAAGGGTGGGGTATAAATCCAATCTCTTCTTCTTCTTCTTGACATTGGCTACTCCTGTCACTTAGGTCAGTGTAGGTGACCTGTTTGGATGGGATTTCTGTTTAATTACGTTGTTGACTCTAGGATGTCTGTGGCTGAGTTAGCATTTTAAGCCTGTCTAGAAGTTTAATTCTGTTCTTTTATGTTAACTTCGTAAAAATCAATGTGCTGAGACACATGGGATTTTGTTGGGACTGTCGGCTGCCCTTATGATCCTTCCTGTGTCGTAACAGGTCTGCTGACATGTGGCGTCTCGGCTGCCTCATCTGGGAGGTCTTCAGCGGCCCCCTCTCCCGCTCATCCTCCCTCCGGTCTCTTGGCAAGGTGAGCACCTCAGTTCTTTGCTTGAGGATGAAAGGAGTTAAACAAGCAGTAATGAGCAGGAATCACAGGTGGAAAACAAAAATCACTCCCCAGAGACAAAAAAATCAGTTATCACCAATGCATGAAACTACAGTCTAATCGAAATAAAGGACCATAACTATCACATGTAAATAAAATGTAAATAAACAGAAATATCCATAATCATTACGATAATTCCAGAAGAGATTAAAGGTAAAGGTAAAGGTTCCCTTGCTCGAAAGAAGAAGAAGAGAAGAAGAGATTGGATTTATACCCCGCCCTTCACTACCCAAAGGTGTCTCAGAGCGGCTTACAATCTCCTTTCCCTTCCCTTCCCCACAACAGACACCCTGTGAGGTAGGTGGGGCTGAGAGAGCTCTTGACAGAAACTGCTCTTTTTCAAGAACAGCTCTGACAGAGCTTGCAACTGACCCAAGGTCACATCAGCAGGTGCATGTGGAGGAGTGGGGAATCAAACCCGGTTCTCCCAGATTAGAGTCCGCGCACTTAACCAGAGAGAAAGAGATTACAAGTGTATTTAACATAATATGAACCATAAGGACTTCAAAATTTATCTGGAAAAGAACTGGGATGTGAAATTTTTTTTACTGTGTTTAGAACAATACGAAGCAAATTGTGTTATCTATAAGTTAGCGACAAGAAACAAGATGTTAATAACTGATGAAATATATATGAGTGTGGTGAAAGCATTGCGGGAAGCCACAGGAGGGGGGACGGAGTAATAAACGTAGGGTAAGCAAAGGTATTCTTTTTAAAGGTTTAATGTTTAAATGTTGGATTCCTATGAATGGAAAATAATAATAAAAACTTTGTTTACAAAAAACCCCAAACATAATATGAACAATAGAGTTGAATAATAGAGTTTAAAGCCAAGATAGACAATGCTTTCAAATGACCACAGATTTAAAGGAGGTGCAGTGAAGGTGACAAAAGAGCCACCACAGTCTATTATTCTCTTCTCTAAATTTTAAGGAGGCACAATGAAGGTGACAAAAAGGCCGTGTGATCCTGATATGAGCCGTTCTAGAGCAAAACGTTTTCCAAGAGGTGTAGATATCTTCTTCCATAAACAGTAAGATTCAAAGCTGCAATGACCATTAAAAGAATAGAGATGGAGCCCAATAGCCAGAGGAGAAATCCAAATCACGATGGAACCCAATGTAGACGGCTTGGTCACCCAGGCTGTTAGTCTGGAGGGGGCATGTGTGGCTACCTTAAAGGAGGACTGGAAAAATCCCAGGTGCACTATTATCATCTTCATAATAGGTAGCCACCAATGTTCCCTCTAAGCTGTAGAGTCTTATGAGCCAACATTCAACTTTGTGAGCTACTGGCATTAAAGTTGTGAACGAGCGACTTGGCTACTGCAGTAATCAGTTTGCTCTGGAGCCCTCCTTCCTGGGCTAAGACCAAAATGTGTGAGCCGGAGGCTAAAAAACTGTGAGCTAGCTCACACCAACTCAGCTTAGAGGGAACACTGGTAGCCACCCACCTCTCTCATTAAGACTCAAGGCAGATTTCTCACTGAGACTCAAGGACTCACGTATCTTCAGGACTGCCTCTCCTGGTATACCTCCCGAAGAGCACTGTGCTCAGCAGATAACAACCTATGGGTGGTCCCTGGCCTGAGCGACATCCGGCTGTCCTCGACCAGAACCAGGGCTTTTTCTGCCCCGGCTCCAACCTGGTGGAACTCTCCATGAAACAACATCCATGCCCCTGCGGGACTCCATGTAAGGGCAGAGACGTTCCACCAAGCATTTGGTTGTGGACAGCAACAGTTTCCATCTGGCTGGCACTCATGTCTCTTGCCTACCTCGCTGTGAGGAAGTTTTAGGACCATCTAATTAGATTAAGTATTTTATTTTTATTGTATGAATGTTGTTTGTATATTTTTTTTAATTAACAATTTTTCAAATTTTTACAAAATAGCAAATATTGCAAATAATACAACAATATAAATACAATAACATAACATTGAAATGTTGTTTGTATTGTTGTACACTGCCCTGAGCCCTGTTCCATTGGGCAGGGCAGTCTAGAAACTGAATTTAATGAATGAATAAGATAATTTCAAAATAAGAAAAGCAGTTCAGTCACATGGCCCAACCAGTCCATATCACATGGCCCATCCAGTCTAACACTCTGTCA